TTTTTTTTTTTCGCCCGCTCGCACCGACTTTGGGGTCCCCAGAGGATGTCATCCATAAAAATAAAAAAGTGTGGCCTAATACAGAAATTTCTATTAAACTTTATGGTGTTTTTATTTGTGGCATTTAAGTTAGAAGTATACCTTTTAATCCTGGGGCAGTCTTGCTGGGTGGAGAATGCTGAACAACTTTAGTGCCTCCGTACAGAATGTGTAACTTGCCATCCACTTGGATGTCCAGTATATGGTCAGTGTCCATGGTTTCAGCTGCCTCCTATGATAGCAATATGTATGATATATAATAGGCAAAAAATATGTAGCAAATCACAGAATGTAAGACAAATACAAACACACATAAAATTGTTTTTCATTCTACAGCTAGACCTATAATTATCCATGCCTACATCACAGGCACAGACTCATTCTACAATCAAAACTAAAATTTTCCATACCTTCATCACAGGCACCAACTGAATCTACAGAGAGACCTATAGTTACCCATACCTTCATCACAGGCACTGACTCATTCTACAGAGACACCTATAGTTACCCATACTGTCATCACAGGCACTGACTCATTCTACAGCCAGACCTATAGTTACCCATACCTTCATCACAGGCACTGACTCTCCTGTAAGCATGGACTCATCCACAATACAAGGCCCTCTCAGCAACAGCAAGTCACAGGGCACCAACCTGTCTTCTTGAGATCTACCTGTAGATTATATACAAAACTGCAAACTTGTATGTTCAGGACCCCCCCCCCCCCCCCCACTAAAAAATTTGGCAAGTAATCATGTATATGTTTTGCATTTTTGATCAAAGTTTTAATTGTTTTCAGTCTCATTTTATGAAATTTGGACTACAAAATCTTGTTGTTTTAAGTGTTCAACAATAATTTCAGACAATGATTCAACTTAAAATAGAACCTGGAGCAGATAACTGGAAACAATATTACTAAATCCTGAAAGGTTAATCATTAGTTACCTATAGATATAAGGTCACCAGGAATGAGTTCATCACTTAAGATGGGTCTCCATTTTCTATTCCTGTAAACCTAATGCACACAAAAAAGGAAATTTACAATATTCCCAATTAAAAGTTCTATGGAATAAATAAATAAATAAAATAAATAAATATATTAAATAAATGAACAAGCTGGCAAACTTATTTCTTTATAATGAAAATAATATAATCAAAGTACACAACAATTTCTACCCTTTTCAAAATCCTTAATTATTGAAAAACAAACACCAAGAACAAACATGTAAGTGAAAAAGAGCAGCTGAGCCAAATAAGTTTACATGGCTGTTATATGTTATCAAAAAAATTCTGATGTATATCAAAGAGGCAATCTATTTTGTTAAAGCAGCCATTGTTTTATTATTTAAGACCTGCATGAGTGAGTAAGTAAGTACAGCAGCTGAATACCTGAACTTGATATGGCTTATTTCCCATTTTACGGATTTCAGCCATATTTCTCAACTGCTGCTGCACAAGTGTGGCCTCAAAGGCGATCAGCATGAACAGAGTGAACACACTGTAATACCAGTACTCATCCAGGCACCACAGCCCGACACAAAACACTTGGAATACAAAGAAAGGGGCTGTGGCTCTCTCCTTGAACAGCTCGGAAAACTTTGGAATGTCCAGGACCATTCTGAATCACATAAAAAGTATGTATTATTTATATTGTTACACATGCATTTTAAATGATTTTTGAGAAATGCAAAAATATTTCATGCCTATACTGCAGCCATATTTTCAAATGAATTAAAATTGACTTCCCAACTTATGGTAAATCAATCATATTATTACATCTACACTGTATAATGGCTTTGGTTAAAATTCACATTTACAGAATAAATTCAAAGCAAAAATACATCAGATGCATCTCTGTGCTACTTGAACTAAGCTGCAACAAAATTATTGAAAAGCTTATAATCAATGCACTGTGTTTTGTTTATCAAAATTGCAATATAAAGTACCTATACAACTTACTCATTCTTTCCATATTTCCTCTCTGCTTGTTTGATATCACTTTCTTCTTGGTAGCCTTTCCATTCCATATAGGTCTTAATAGAATAGTCAATGGGGAACTCCACTGGAAGAAACTGCTTTTTCTCCTCTGCATCATACACATATTTGCACTTTTGGAAAGTGAACCAAATTTGTTCTGTATCTTCATACTGAAATGCAAAACATGTCAATGAAAAAAAGGAGAAGACATATAAAAAAGAAGCAAAAATAATTCAATAAATGAACTGAAAATAATAAACAAACTCAGCATCTAAAATACGCTTTGTTTAAATGCACAAAAGTAAAGAGATCCTTTGAAATGAGACACTACAAAAACTCCAATTGAACAATTCAAATATCTTCTGCAATCATGTGACTTGAAAACAATGTAGAATGTGCTTCTCATATTGTTATATGCAACAAAGAAAAAAATACTGAAACTTCTAAACCAACCACCACTTATTTGACTAAAGTAATTAATTTTATACTGTAGATAAAATATTCCTTGAAAGCATCCTTTAAGTAAATATATCTTTAAATTGCTATCATAGTTTTAGCACCTTAGTTGTAGAACATATTGTTAGATCATCGTCATTTCTAAGAAGTACTTAACGAGAATTAGTAATTATAATAATAATTATATTGAAAAATGATATTAGTATTCAGAATCGAAAAAATATCTTATTTTCTTTTGTGAGGCACTTAAAATAATGAATCTTCAAATATAGGAACAGACTTTACGAAAGGCCAAAAAATCTGTCAGACATTCGGTCTGACAAGCCTGAAAATTCTGTCAGACCGAAACAAAATCTGTCAGACCGAAGTAAAATAATAGAAATATAAACCATTATTCATGTTTTCATGTGTATTTTCTAATGTTTTAAATCATTGACATTAAATCAAATATTAATTTTTTGAAATATATTTATTTGTAAAAAAAAGTAAGATAAGAAAGAAAAAAAAATAGTGCTGAATGAAACAAGGACTAAAAACATTACAAGTATGAAGAATGCGTAGCTAGTTATTTCAAATGTATGTCCATAAAAACGTCTGTTAATCAGTAACCATTTCACACGTTGTTTTTGGCAATAACATATGCATTTTGAAACAGCACAGTAAGACAGTCTCTTTCGTCCAATTGAAGCTTTGTCAGGGAGTGTCCAGTCCGAGTCCTTCTTCTTTTTATTTCTTTTTTTTTTTTTTTTTATAAAAAGAAACTCAAACTGTGAGCTTTCATCAAGTTCATGCGCACTTTCTCCTACTCGTGATGAACGGTACATGCAAATACGTACATATGTCCCATAATTTAGGAAACTGTAATAAAGCTGTAACATTTATGTTGCTGTTGATCAAAATGATAACTTTAGTACTCCTGACACTCGGCACACACTATTTTCCTCTCCTACAGAACATAAGTCCGCTAGGGCCTACCTTCTTTCCAATTTTATTAAACTTCCGTTTCTCTTCCTCACTTCGTTTTCATTTTTGCCACGCTTTGCACCAACGAAGTGTTTAAAGTTCAATAACGTCATTTTCTAAGCAAAAGGCTTATCCATGAGTACTGTGTACGACTGATAATGAAGAAACAGAGGATCAAGTCTGTAAAAACGCAAATTAGCACGAGCACATGTGTTGCGGCCATTGTGTTGTGTAGTATAACGAAAACGAGACTGTACATTACATCATTCAGGAATTCCCCAACCTCAGCCAGTCACAAAATAGTATTTGTGAGTGAAACTGAGGTTAATAAATTATGTATAATTAGCTGGGAACTCCCCGAGATTTTCACCCCGTCTTTCTTTTCGAATGAAGTAAAATATATCGTCCAGAAAAGAAACAACGCAATCCTTATAAATTTACACATTCTCAGTCAGTTTGAAAACTCGCCGGACATAAGGTCCGACGATACAGGATTTTTTATCGGACCGTGACGAAATTTGCCAGGCATGTCCGACGGTCCGACGCCTTTCGTAAAGTCTGTAGGAAACAGGTGAGGGGTATGAGGCATGTGTGAAATTTAAGTATGTTAATCCTTACAGTATGTAAGTCTCACCTTATCATGGTGCAGTTCAACCAATTCAGGAGAGCCATTATTTGGTGTAGGAACTACTTTGACCACTCCAGCTTTCTTTGGATCATTTTCCTAATAAAAGTCAATAATGCATCTATCACTTCGCTGCAATTCGTCATGTAGGATATAAATAAAAAAGAATATTGCAAATCAATCAGATCAAAAATTCAAGGTCTTACACAGAAATGAAAACAACAAATACAATTTTCATGAACCACTGCATTTATAATTTGTGAACATATTTGCATTAAAACCTCTGGCATCCACTTTTAACACAGAATAAGAAAATGTCGTACATTTTAAAATGTGCATGGGACCAGACTGCAAAATGCGGATAACATCCAATATGTGAGATAACTTTAGCATCAAAGCATCAGTTTTATTTGACAATTATCGACATATGTGAAGACCGTTTGGTAACCTAAAACAAAATAGAGCTGCTTTACAAAAAGATGCCATACTTACAGATCTACAGGTAAGGGCGCATCTCACATGGACCGACCAATGGCAAAATAGACACGTTAAAATTTGCAGAATGCCGATACCGGCAAGAGCAATCATTCCCGCCTCAAAATACTCAACAACGCCATACGCAGTGACCCAAACGTACAGCCATATGGCATACAAGACCATGAATGGTGCAATGTATCCATGGAAGACTAGCGGTCGTAAATTATAAAGAGAAATCCGCTGTATTTCTTCGTTTACAGTGGTCATGTTGCCGGAAGTTTCATTTAATTGACGAGGATGAAATCAACAGCGCGATATTTCATTGGATGAATTTAGTCAGGTCGTCTTACTTTTTTTGCGATAAAAAATTACTAGAATCAAGAAAATATTGTAAAAAAAATTAAATGAATTTTTTTTAAAATTCACGTTTTTGAGGGGGTACATTTAGATAGAACTTCATAAAAAGACGATCAAGTGCGGTACGCTCCTTTCATTTTTAACCTTCTACAACGAAAGAGTTGAAAACACTGAAGCGAAAACTTCCCGTACAAAAACGCGAAGACGACGTCCCAATTTCAACGAATAGGAATTGATGGTTGGTTGGCTGATAATTCAAGGTATTTTGGGAAAGAAAGCATGTTCGATGATTTGGTCTAAAAAGCCAAATGTGACTCTAGTACATATCAGAGACCGCAAATATAGGAGTGTATTTGTGATTTTTTCATTTTTCTCACTTTGACATTTTCATAGTTACGTGGCTTCCATATCCTATTGGCCTGAAGCAACGTGCTCGTCACATTTACTGTACGTATGTCACATTTGCACAAGGATTAAAAGTGGCGTTATGTACAGTAATATTGCATCAAAATAGACGCAAAAGAAAAAAAATGTTTTGTGCACTTTTTCATAAACACAAGATAAGAAAAATTGTATTCGATCTACATATTATTTTCAAACTTGTTGGAATACTAGTGTGATTGGATTATCGTTGTGGAAGTTAAAATTTCTGTTATTTTTAATTTCCACATATCAACATTTTCTTTACAGTTTTAAAAAGTGTTAAAATATGTAAACATTTTTATGATTTTCAATATTATACTAAATTTAGGCTCACTGACTTGATGCCCCAACTATAAGCCACATCAAGGGTCCACACAAGCACTGTCATGGATGCAGACCAGGAAGTATCTGGCAGACCTGCTCACCTCACAGTAATAGAGAATCTGCTTTCTGCTATCAAGACCTCAGATATAGACACTGTCAAAGGCATGGCAGATGAGTACAGGCAAAACCCTAGCCTTTTAAGTGATAGAAAATGTGGTAGTGCTCTGTTAGCTGCAGCCAGGTCTCCTACAGATTGTGTAGAGATAGTGTACTTATTGCTGGCAAATATGAATGCAAATGTCAGGTATGTACTATCCACTGTTTTATATTTCTGTCAATTATAAAGGCTGTTATTCATCTAAATTTTAGCTATTCACACAAAGCAGAAGTATGAACACAATCTGTTGCTTTGATTCATCATTTTAAATATATATTCAGTTAACTTTTCATTGTTGGTGCTTAAAAACTTTACAATTGCATTTTAAACCATTTTAATAATTTAACTGATAGATGACAGTTCGATGCCTCAGTAGGCGTCATACATACCTAACATACATACATACATACATACATACATACATACATATATGATAATATATACATATGATGATAATAATAATACATTTTAATATACATATAATTTTTATCCCAGCCACAAAGACCAGAATGGCCTCCAAGCGCTCCACTTTGCAGCCTTCAACAACAACCACAATATACTTAGTGCACTGATCCAGGCTGGTGCTGAAGTGGACTGTCAGGATGCCAAGACATACACCCCGCTCCACTATGGATGTGTACAGGGGCATGTGGACATAGTGAAAACCCTGCTAGCCAAGGGGGCAGGTGCTTGTAGAGGCAGGAGAATGTGGAAGGAGTCCCCTTTGCATGTAGCTGCATATGATGGTATGCAATTGAGGCAGTGGCAGATGGAAAATATTTCATATATTTTTTTGTGGTTTATAAGTTTTTTAAGGTGTTCATAAAATATAAGTGAATTAATTTTGAGCAGGTTATTCCTTTTCATATACAAGTGTTCTTGCAGGCGTAGAGAGAACTCTGTGTTTCCAAAGTACAAAGTATTGAATAATGAATTGTATATTTTTTTCCCAGAAAATTTCACCCACCGATAAACCCTTTTTTTATGAAAATAAAAGGATGTTTTTTAATGACAGTAATAATCTTTTTTTAAAGTTGAAACCACTGTTTGACCAAATTCATACCTATTTAATGTTTATATATTGTTCAAACAACCTTAAAAGCATTTGTTGGTTAAGGATATGCTGATAAACTGCTTATGATTCATACATTATTTATGACATTACCACTCAATGAAATGATTGCTTGTTTACTTCCTAGGTCACCTTGAAGTAGTTTTACTATTGCTTGAAGAGGGCGAGAATCCCAATGTCAGAGCAGATGTTGGCGACGGAGGTACTCCTGTACACCGGGCGGTGACTGGCGGCCATATTGAGGTGTTGAAGGTGCTGATGGCAGCAGGGGGAAATATCCACAAGTTTGACAGCAAAGGCCAACGTCCAGTCCACATAGCTGCAGCACAGGGAAATGTTGACATCCTGCAGCTGTTGATAGAACATGGTGCTAGTTTGAATCTCATCGATAACGTCGGGAGGACTGCCCTCTCGCATGCCGTGTGCAGTAAGAATACTGAAGCAGTGGAGCTTTTATTGCTTCATGGCTCGGATACCAATGTGCCTGACAAACAGAGGATGTTTCCTTTACATTATGCTGCCATTGAGAATAGGCCTCAGATTGTGAGGCTTCTGTTGGAACATGGTGCTAGGGTAGGTGTTATGTCATTATAGATGTATCTTAAAGGGTACATGTATCTCTGTATTGTCCATATTTATTGTACAGTGTATCCGTAAAAAAAAGTTCATTTCTTTTATTAAGGAATATGTTCAGGGAATAACAGTATGCTAGAAGAGCATTACTGTTTCAGGTGCAAGGTGTTAATTTCATCTACACAACATGCCAAATTTCATTACTTATTTGGTTTGCAATTATGTTTATGACCCATAGAGTGAATCCTCAGATACATGAAGTAATTCAGCATTTTTTTCATTTATATATAGAACTATTTATTTGAGTATTTATTTGAGTCATTATTTGAGTAATTGTACAATACAAAATGATAATAACCTAAATTCCAAGTGAAGATATCTGAAATGTGTCTGCTTTAAAAATTTTTTTCTACCATCGATTCAGATCTGATGATGCTTGCTTTTTTTCAAATCTCAGTATTATTGAAGCATATAGGGGGACATTTCCCAAAAACGTATTAACTAGGTTTGTATTGGATCTGAAAACTCATGGTCCTCTTTCTTGATTCATCAAGGTGAACGAGACTAACTCTGTGCGGGACTCAACAGCTCTTTGCATGGCTGCATCTCTCAACTTCCCAGCAGTGGTTCAGGAACTGTGTGCGGGGGGCGCTGATGTAAACAAGGGAGACAAAAACAAATTTACTCCATTACACAAAGCTGTCAGCTCTTCAGGTAATGTGTTTTATGCATCTTGTTGGATGTTTTATTTGCCTATTTTTAAAATATTATTATTAGCAATCTAAATTAAGGTAGCTACTATTGTTTTTTGGCTGCATCTGAGACAACTTCATGTACTGTATTGAATTTGGATTAATGATTAATAAAATTGATAATGGTATTTTTTCTCAGTTATATGTTTATATAAAGGTGCTTAAAATTGACAGAAATACCCTTTCTTAAACTGGTTTGTTAGTTGATATTTGAGTTCAGAAATGTCCAAGAGCAGTGTACATCTTGTGTGGACAATAAATAGGAAAATGAGTACCAGTAAAAACAAAGTTTAAATAAAATCAGTCTTTCTAAATTTGCTACTTTGCCAATGACCATCTTCATTTTAAGTGTATAGGCTTCATAGTGCACTTTATATATGATATCCGTAATGTTGTCTTCCAGAGCAAAACAAAAGCGAAGTCATATCCATACTTCTCCAATACGGTGCTCTTCTAGACATCCGGGACATTGGTGAATACACCCCTCTAGAACGTTGCGTATTCCAGTGTGTTATACACAATTTTAATATACACGATCTCAAGTTGTTAGTGGGAGCAGGAGCTCCTTTAGAAAGCCAGGGTTCCAGAAGACCATCATCAAGGTGCATGTGTGTGTTTGGACACGTTTGCTTACGCAAGCACTATGCTTCGTAAGAAGTTGAAATAAAGTTTTCTGAGCATGAGAATTGTAGTACAAATTAGGAGTACCATGTTACCTTTATAAAATCTATAATCTGTTATACAGGCTATGTGTTCAAAAAATAATGCTTCAAGAAACTGGAATAACAATTTTTTTGCTAGTTCAGAAGTTTGATAAATCTGTATGGTTTTTCCTTTTGTCAGTCCTTGTCAGCCCTTGAATCATAATATTTCCCTATCCACATGGTTTTTAATGGCGATCCTGGCAATAAAAATGGCAACTCTATTAGTGATGAGGTTGATGATGAAAATAATAAGATTTTTTATACTATATTTATAACTTATTTTATTTTGCAGACAGCACAGTTCTGCCCTCTCCTGGGTGCTGTGGCATGGCCACACAGATGCTGCAGCTTATTTGGTGAGTGCTGGTTGGAACCTGTCTACAGAGGCCTGGATATTCTCTGTGAGGTGGAACCTTGCTCAGAAAGACATACTAGATATGATACTCCAGTATTTAAAAGAGCCTAAGGGGCTGAGTTTTCTGTGCAGGGATGTTATTCGGTCATGTTTGATGAAGAGGAGGAAAGGGAGGGAAATATTGAGTGCAATTGAACAGATGCCATTGCCTGGAACACTGAAGAGGTTTTTAAGAATTGAAGATGGCTAACGAGAATTCTTTCACACTGAACCGAAATGATTTGCAATCTGCCATGTTGGTATGCTGAAGTAATCATACTTTATGTCTTGACAATTTTATTTATTTATCATTTCAAAGTCATTTTGTCGTCTGTTCCTATACAAGGTGAAATATGTTTATTTAAATTGTGGGATGGACTGCAGTAATGATGTATTTACATGTTGCATTTTTTCTTCCGAATACATTGTTTTTGATAACGTTCCATATTACGTACAATGAAATATAGCACAGGTTATATTTGATGAGAGAAATCTCAATAACAATACATGTAGTGACTGTGTCCTTAAGGTGAATGAGTTCACTTCCCCAAAGTTTACATTATTGGATCATATTGAAATGCATTTGTACTTTTGTATGTGATAAAATAATCCCTAGGTTAGCAGTAAATGTAACGTTATTTATTGAAGCATTTGTTTCAGTGTTATTTTTTACATTGACATTTGTAAGAAGACCTTGTGTGATTTATCAAAAAATAGTGTAGTACGCATCACTGCAGATAAACACGCAAGGAGTCAATTTGTCTTTAAAATACTCCACTCTTAGATCACTGGCGTGGAAGGCACTTCCAGAATCTGGCCGCTTGCTACGAGGGGCATTTTCTCATCAGTATTCGGTAAAGATTTTCGAAGGACTTTGTTTCGTAACATGACGATGGCGCCAAATGCTAGCGCCGCCATCCAGAAGGCCCCCAACTCGAGGAAGAACACGGTTTGATATGAGCCGGTGGTGTCAAAGATTTCTCCTAAAAGAAATTTTAAAAAATTATGCAAATCAAACGGTTGCAAAATTAACGTGGCATACCTCTCCTATTTCGAAAAATGTATGATAACCACAGAAACTGAGTTTTTTAAAAAACAATAATGCCCTAAATCGTCAAACTATCTATATTAAAAAAGATTCTACTGCTATATTGATAAAGGTCTCTAAATATTGTGATTATAGTTTAATGAACGGTTATTGATATTTCTAATAATTTATTACCTGCAGCAACTATGCCCAGGATCAATGCTGTTCCACTGGCGAGACCACTTAAAGCAAAGAGTTCATGTGTATAATGCCCGTCCATGATTTCATCACACAATGGGAACTTCAGGGCGCCCATCAAGCCCGTTGTAAAGCCCGCCACTGAAATATTAATAATTTACAGTCGTTAAGTAATATGTTACTGGTTTCCAGCTAACTGAGTTACTTTATCCGATGCTACATGTCAGGTAAGGAATGCAAACTCTAAATGTGTATTTCACAGGGACCAGACGAGGAAGCACTGGTGCCAGTGCGTAACAGCTCGAGTTAATCTGCGCGGCACGAGGCACGAAATAAATTAATAGTAAAAGGATACGGTGACTGATTAAAGTCTACAGCGAGAAATTCGTGAAATGAAAAAGTAACGTAAAACGTTAATTATTGTCGCCATGCCGCCAATTATATTTCATAATATATATATTTCCTGTATCATAAATTTCCATACGTACTGATGGCGTAGGACAAGACCAGCGCGTAGCCAGTAGAGAAACCCATGAAGAAGTTCTGTATGCCTAAAAGAAAGCAGCACACGGCAGACAGGTAGACGATCCTTCCCTTCACCAGTTTGTCACTGGGTAGTGTAATCAGTATTCGGCCCACGAGGTCAGATGCAGAGAAGACTGTGACTGCGAAAGCTCCTGTTGACTCGTGGAAACCGAGAGTCTCCATATGCTTAACCTAAAGAAAAAAAAAAGAAAAGATGTCTTTTGGTGTTTCAGGGAAATTGGCAACAATACACAGATGACCTCCCATCGAACCAAACAAATTAAAATCCTTCACTGAAAGCATGACTTCTGCAGGCCTGTAGCCAGCAATTTCAAAGGGGGGTCTTTTTCTGAAAAAGTGGACCTTTTACCATATAATCCCCATGTACCTAGGTCAAATTTACCCTGAGTGGACCTTTTTCCAGCAAAAAGGGGGGTTCTTTCGAACCCCCCGAACCCCCCTGGCTACGGGCCTGTTCTGTATATTGGGGATGTTTTTTTTCAAAGGGAATAATCATTTCATATATTATTACACATTTAACAAAGGGTGTCACCCGAGAAAGCCTAACACAAGGCTGTGTAACAAATGTCATGTGAGATAAGAATCCGCGTGAGGTGTGATGAACTTTTCAGCGATACAGTTGAAACTCTGTGCGCCCATAATGTCATTTTAGAAAACAATACAAAATGGACAAGCAAAACATCAAAATGAATCGTTGCTGTTGTGCAATAAACTGTAATTCTGAACTTTAGATAAAACTACCGGGAAAATATACATGAATAAATTCTGTTAATTTTTTATTCGTTGTCGCAACGCAGTTATCTCGGATGATCCCTTTATCGCAACCCTATTTCACGTACCAATATGAACGTGGGGTCAAATACGACAAACGCCCAGCAGAAGACGGCTGCAAAGAAGAGCAATCCGGCACAAACAACAACAAACATCCCTGTACTCTCTGTCAGTTTTGATTCGCCGTGCCTTCTTTGGTCTTTAGTGTCTTCTTGTGCCTCCTCTTGAGTTGCCTCTGGCGCGTCTCTGATACAGTAGGCACCGGCGCCTCCCACGAGTAAGTACAACGTCCCGTATGTTACAAATGTCATGTTCCAACCAATCCTGCCTATTAAAGCAGCCGATAGCGGGTTAAAGAGAAGGGGTCCTGAAAAGAAGTTATAACTACTTTAAAGTTTAAACAGGTTCTATATTAGCTAGGCAAACTTTCCACTGGAGGGCAAAGTAACGGGTAACATTTTCAAAACAAAATGAAGGATTCAGTCCCAATCTTTTCTCAAAGGGGGATAAAAGCAATGTACTGATGCCTAAAGAAACACACTAAAAATATTACTCAAAAGTGTAAAACGCAACAAATTTCACATTTCCGTAAACAATGTTTTCAAAGTAGAGATGGAAAAAAGTGATCCCCGTTTCTGGTTCTGCCATTTTATTAAAATCTGAATGTTTTTGTTAAAGAACTACATTCTTTCTGCATAATTCTAACACATATATTTTTTTGCTCAATCTCAGTTCACATCTCAGTTTAAAATGAACTTTTTTTTGCAAGGAGGGTACCAAAATGAAAAGTAAGAAATGAATTATCATTTATATCAGGACAAGAAAAATCTAAATTCCATATTTAACGAGTGCTCACCAAGGCTGTTGGACCATCGCGGAACGCTAGTTGTCAACACATGATACTCGTGGTCCCTTGGGAAGTATTTGTCCAGCAAGAAGAAGACAGGTTTGTTCATCAACAACATGCCACTTCCGGTCAGCAAACTGTACGTAAAGAACAGCTGCCGCGGGTTACCGGCGATTCCAGACAAGTACAACCCAGTCGAGGCCGCTAACACGCCAATGACAACGGTGTTCCGGGCCCCAATTTTGCGGACTAGTATCAGAGCAATAGGGGTGCCAGTTTCCACTACTCCATAGGCTACTGCTCCAACCCAGGCTGAAATTATTATGGAACAAAAGTCATGAACGATAGCAGGACAACTTTTACAATTATACTGGACTGGTGCTAATAGCTAAAGGAGTCTATTGCGAGCTAAGAATTTGCTCGGCAATGCAAAATAAGTTTCTTAAGCAGCATCGCGCCTTCGAATCACTCTGAGTTTCAAAGAATACTTAAACTAGCTCCTGTCGTAGATATGATTTTGTGGTTACAAGAAACAGCAGAGGCAGCCAGATAATAGAGGTCAGTTTCAAGTAGCCTCTGAAACTCAGGGTGCTTGAAATTTCGTATTATAGAATATGCCGCATATTGATCTGTATGTATGTATCTGTAGAGAATATTCTGTTGCTTTTTTTTCTTGCTGGTCCAATCTTGCAATATTTCTCCACTTCTTGTTGGAATTTCGATTGAAAGTTTCCCTATATACCAATAAAACCCGATTTTAAAAAAATACACATGCAAATATGCGTATATCACGTCTCTTGGTGTTTCAAATTGCTTTCATGATAGCAATTCGTTAAGTACAGAAAGCCGACGATCATTCTTCAAGCTAGATTTTATCTTCTTTAATTATTAAATCATATCACGCATTTTTGCAACATCGGGATCATATTATGTACGACAACACATAATACATCAACAGGTTTGTCGAAATTTTATGCAATACAATATTGTTCTTCCAATAGTTCTTCCGTATTGCCTTCTTCATCAAGGCTTATGGATAGAACTGCATCGCAACCAGGTCATCTTACACATCTTATATTTAGTTTGTGTTCTATCTTTAAAGTGCTTACTTCAGTTTATTCAAGTTTGACAAATTGTAGTCAGATAAATGAGATGCATGGGCATGTACTGCTGGGGTATTATTGGTATCAGCACGCGAAGTACGCACAACTAAGCACCTAATACACTACCGGTTCACAAATACTTTTATTTCCGATGGAAAAATCACAAAATAAAATAACAAAAACCCATGTGATTTTTCCTTTGAAGTTAGATATGAATAAAACTAGACCATTTTTATCAAGACAGATACAAAGTATTGACATACAGAACTCGGAGAAATGGTACTACATATATTCAGCAGTTTACTGCAAGGAAAGTGACGTTTTTATTGAGTTTACTTTTAGTTAAATTTTCATCTTATCCTAATTTCGTGTTTTGCATAATATGCCCAGTTGCTATTTTCTGAATCTATTTATTCCAGTGAGATAATGTACAACCATTCTAAACAAAGGATATCTATATTATTACCAGATGCTTCAAATATATATGAGCAAAGAGTAATCAAATTTGCATGAAATACAAAACCGCTGTGAAAAAAAAAGCAAGAAAAAAAACCTGAGGTACGTTTTTTATTTCCAAATGAATTAACCGATGTTGCCTTAGCATAAAAAACTACAATAAGTCTCTTTCTTAGTAACAGTGAAACATTATAAGAGCTCTAATCTGGAAACAGGGTACACTTTGGGGCACAAGAACAGGTTAAGGTCAGTGTTAATCGCAGTGGGCACGCCATGTCACATAATGCTACATTATGACCACGGAATAGCCTTTGTGTCTGTGTGATTTATTCTCTTGTCGCGGTACCACATGGAAGAGATTTGTCACTGCTTCCTTTTTTTTTAGTTTCTACTNTGAAACATTATAAGAGCTCTAATCTGGAAACAGGGTACACTTTGGGGCACAAGAACAGGTTAAGGTCAGTGTTAATCGCAGTGGGCACGCCATGTCACATAATGCTACATTATGACCACGGAATAGCCTTTGTGTCTGTGTGATTTATTCTCTTGTCTCGGTACCACATGGAAGAGATTTGTCACTGCTTCCTTTTTTTTAGTTTCTACAATTTAGTTCCTCTTCGCACGGGGACAATCCAATCATCAATTTGGTAGCGACTTATTACGAAAATAGAAATAGAAAAATACTCTTGGAAAATGTGTCATAATTCGGGGCATTTTATAATGCTTCTGTTGCGCTTAGCTCAATTTGTTTTCTTTTCTTTTTGGAATCTTGCCATCATGTCCTTCTAATGATTAGGTTGCGGAAAGTTGCCAAATATCAATGTTTTCAGTCCCTCTTGTGATGCAGGTCAGCAAAACTGGAACGCAGCATACTTTCTGGTTATTACAAAGAGGATCTTTTTGTAGAATCATGCAGCTTGTTAGTAAGATAAATTGGCATTGTACTTCCTCAAGGTTGCGGTTCAGCGGTAAGGGGACGATGTAGCACAGTCGCATGCTAGCTTAACGATAAGTTTTTATTAACTATTACTGTAATGTACAAGACAATGCATGAAAAAAGGCTTTTTATCAAAACTGTAGAGAGGGTTTTTACTTCTGGTGGGATAAGAGACAAAAACAAGAATGTACATAAAGCCTTCAAAAAAGGTGATTGCCAACATTCGCCTCGTTGAGAGGTGTTAATAGCCCCAAATTGAAAAGTACACTGGACAGTCACATTAAAACATCTCTTTGTAGTTGTGGTAAAAGTTTTTAAAACAAGAAACGAAAAAAAAGCCAAAAATAAGGCGACACAGTTTTGAAGTCAACTCGATGGATGGTGTACCAAACCAAAACGGTGAATAACTTTTCCACTTTTTCGGCAAACATGCACTATACGCAAGGACAACCCCATAAGTAATGGGTGGATATTCATTAAAACAAAAAAGAAAAAATAACAAGACTACCATTAAGTACGTAATTTCTGTGAACCTGAGGGTGAAAATGCATACTTTCTTAAATAAATATAGAAAAATGCGAGCGAAACTTACTCACCTAAAGTTGCAACTTTGGTATCTTCTATTTCACGACTGAAATTCGCCAGAAAAACCCCATAAGAGTGTATAACGCCATGGACAAGAATTCGCAAACACAGCGCAATAATCAGACATATCCAACCCCACTTTAAATCCATTTTTATCGAAATTAATAAAAATGCTTTGATCAAAGTCAAAATTCGAGTGGATTTGCGCGTTTCAATTACTCTTCATGCGATGACGTCAAGGCGGTTCTCTATCTTAAGAGCTATGAAACGGTTCTTCGTGTGACAATCTCACATGACAGGGTTGCTGTTCTTGTCATCATTACTCTTTTTTAATGTTTTTTCCCTCTTTTTGGAGGAGTTGGAATGGATAGAAAGGCACGTCCGCATTTTGTTAGGGAGGTGAGTTAAAATAAATTGTTTCATTTCTATTAACCGTGGCAAAGGTTAATTCAAGGCGAGAGGGATGAGGGTCAGGCCCCTTCTCTTTGTTTTTCCCCCACCATAAATAAGGAAGGGTAGGGGAAAAAACAAGCAAACCATCTCTTTCTCCGCCCTCAAAAAATCCTGAAAGAATCCAGGTGTAGTATCATGCCATCTGTGACTCATTGTTTTAATGTTTTTATGCAAAGAAAGGGGATTTGTTTGATGCCTTTAACACCTCATAAATAAACCGTTTGGCAAATTACAGACAACATTCATAAGCATTGCGTGCTAGGGTGACAATATTTCTGTTCAACGTTTTTCTCTTGCGTCAAGGCACTTTGTAAATGACATAATAGCTCTACAACTATTTATCTTGCTTTTTGACATTTTAGCCTCCATCTCGTAGATCTTCACGTCCACAGAATCATCTAAAAAGCGGCAATTTTTTAAATTTATCTAAAACACAATTCCTTTTACTTCTTTAAGATTGGAATTAAAATAGAAACTTTGGAACAGTTTAAATCACGGCCACGCATTGGTCTGGTAGATGTTCAACGTTATAATTAATGCATAGAAAGACTGGTTACCCGGAATCACATCAAGTATTAAGGTATGGACGTATTGACTCACAATCCACGTGTACACAACGGCAGATGGTAGGTCAATATGACATGCTGCGCGGTGGATGCGGTAGATGAGATTCCACCGATTGCCAGAAAGAAACGCATTAAAATGCCAAAAGAACAATCAATATTCAGAAAGGAAACTTTCAACCATTCTCATCACTCTAACTTTTAGCTCATATGTAATTATTATAATTTATGCTTTAGAGACAACTTAGGCGAGTTAGTGACTAGGCATATACATTTAAATACGGGCTTCACTATCAAGGCCTCTGATCGCAATCATTTCTTATCTATTTTAAAAACTACCAAAACGCGTTTTAAATAAGGAAATTGGATCTCGCTCCAACCTTATCGTTCTAAATGTTTAAAATACACAATATTAAATTACAAAACTTGTCCTATGAAATTTACCCTACTTCATTTTCCCGCTTTGCATTTTCGCGAATAAATAAAACAAGTAACAAGTACGTCGTGTACTTAAAATCAACCTCAATGTTTTATTTGGCATTATCACAACCCAAAGACCAAGGTTGCAACATCTCGTTACAGTATCATATTAGTCAATTTCGATTCTTCTGATAAATTAACAAATGCACTTAAGCAATCAAATATCAACCTGAGAAAGTGAGGGATTAATCAGCTAACGTCTCACACAACGTTCAAATTGGTTTTGATAGCGAAGTTAATTAAGCAATGCGTGAAAGAGTAATGCATACATAAAACGTAGGCAAAGAGTAGGCTATGTTCGCTCTTGATCTGCTAATACTCTCAAAGATCCAAGTGACTATACAGCTTCATTTGTATTATCAACTTAACATACTATATTAATCAATGACCTTCACTGAAGGTCAACCTTCCAAGTCTTACGTCACCTGTTTCTGTGAAGAAAAAAGGTTAATGGCATAATAATCCTTATTCAAGATAACAACCTTAGTTAAAGCTACTTGGTAAGTGACAATGAGGGTTTGAAATGTACTAAGAGAGCTAGTAGGCAACTTTGTTGTAAATCTATCAATATCCTTTAGAGTAGAGTACAATATAATATATATTAAATATAGTCTCATATTTAAGTAAAACCTCCAATGGTATTAAGTGGCTGCTTCATTTAGCCTGCTCTCTTTTTCTATATTTAATAACCAAACAACCAATCTGACCCAAATTAACCAAGTAATGAGAAACTTTTTCAACAATGCCTTTTTGTACATGCTATCAAGAGTTACCAGCTAGCAAAATTTACCCAATAATATCAGAATTTCAAAAAAGAAAAGTATGGCTAAAAGTGACAGAAAGGGAAAACAGCTTCATGAAATGTTTAAACATGTCTGAAAAGAATCAAAGAACCACTGGGGATTGTCTTCAATTAAATTCATAACTACATACTAAAACACATCTAAATTTGCAAAAAATAATTTCATTAATGCTGAACACTTACACAAAAAACTCAGTCAACTTTTTCTACTGGGGTATCTAGTATATAGGTGAGATGCATATTTCAATTACCGTTTTGCAATTTTACTGGCTATATTGGTTAATCACAAAACAAAAACATTTTAGTTTGAGGATAATAATTAATATTTGCAGGAACAAAACTTCTTAGGGGGAAGAACTGCTATCAAGCACAAATGCATTAAGTGAAATGCATTTGTGAAATTCTCAGAATCCTTTATGTCTAATAAGGCTTGAAAAAAGAGCCATAAAGTTATAGTTGTCCAACAGTTGTCCGGGCATTTAGCTATTTTATACCATGACTGGCACTTCAAACAATAGGATTAATGCACTATTTAGGCATAGATGATTGCCTATATTTTCATATGCTTCAGTGCGTTTATCCTTTTGTTGGATATGCCAGCCATGGTATAAGTCAGTAACAACTACTCGTAGTCTTCTGTTTGTGACGTAAAAGAGCATATTATAATATTATTCTCAGCTGCACTTTGATATAATTATTCTTGTATGTCGCAAACAGTGGACAACTCATGTAGTAACTAGTTCTTATTCTAATATATACTTTATGTTTCACTGCTACTTCAATTAACCAACAGGAAGTCAATATTTTGCCACTGTGCAAGGGGCGATTGCAAAGTTTTGATAATGACCCTGTAAGGAGCAGTCTTTCATCTTTTGTGTTCTGAGAAAGCTACATTTGAAATTTTGACTCTCTGCATGGCAGTTCAGGATGCTGTGATGGAGTATATCTACAAATAATGATAAATAAATTAATAAAATAATAAATATTAAAATCAATAAATTGAAATAATCTAGTACAGATCTAGTATATCTATAAAAATAAACAATAAAGAAATAATAATAATAATAATAATAATAATAATAATAATAAAGAAAGAAAGAAATAAAATAAAGTAAATAAAAATTATAGAACATCTCCACCGTAATCTATGAAGACATGCTAAAAGCATTGAGGGACAATGCATCATCTTATGTAAAGTAAAATGCTGGACAGCTGCTCAGAAAGCAAAAGATGGCAAAGCACTATGTACATTTTCTAGGTCAGAATGAAAAATTTTTTCAATCACCCCTTGCATGTTCTTTCCTTCCTTTGAATAAGCAATACCACTAGTCTTAAATGAGCTAAGCTTTTACCTACTAATGAAAAGGTCAAGACTTTTGCAATTAATACATTAATAAAGTCTGGGTTAATTAACTCTTCCTTAATCACAAACAGTAATGTGCCACTTAATCAGCATATATGAATCCAATACATGGTTTTACAAAAACAGACAATAACCATTAGTGTCAAAAAGTCTACTTCATTTGGCAAGTTTTAAGTCAACACTTCATAAGACACAAGGATAAAAAAAAAGCATCATAGTCCAGTTTATTTAACACCATTGGAAAGTTTTGCTTGAGCCGATTCCAGAGATGTTTCGTTATATACATCAAGCATTTGTTTACGGACATGTTCTGTAAGATCTCCCACATTTTCTGCCGTGAGGCCTTCAGTGGATATTTTTGGAAGGACTGTGATGATGAATTTGCCTGAAAAATTAAAAAATAAAAAAAGTATTTTTTCTGCATATTTCTCAGATTTAATTCAATTTTCTATCAAATTATATGTGAAAATAAAAACTACAACTTACATTTAATCTTTAAACTACGAATTAAAACCTATCAGCAACATTATCATGTCAAGTGATATGAATGAATGTTCAAAAACAATGTTCTAAAGATACAATAATAATAATTTCCACAGACGCAGTCCTAAACTGTAGATATATAATGCAAAAAAACTTTAATCATTAAGTTATCTATTTTACCTGTTCCGAATTTTTTCTGTTTTTTGTTATAAAACTCTGAATATGAGGACATAACAACCGGTACAACTGGGACCTATGAAATAAAAACATTGGTGAAGGAATAAAAAAACTCAACTGAAACATGGAATTATTTTCTAAATCAATAATAATGCAGATGAACTTCATCAAAATTTTCTCACTCTAATAAATAACACCATCAGGATATCTATTTTATTTAAATTTTTTGTGTTCTTGATTTCCACAAAAATTGCTAGTTATGGAAGCAGAGCACTTGTATATATCTTAAAAGCAAGTTGTATCCTTTAAATTATTGAAATTTCCACTCAGCTCAAAACCTGTGTTTTAATAAATATCAAACATTCTGAGAATGCAAGCAGCCTACCCTTCACTTAGCTCGAACACAGTGAAGGAAAGTGGTTTTTAAATCTTTAATCCATTAGGTATTTCTGAGTAGAACTCCACAAACTAATGACAAGAATTCCAGATTATTACTGATGGTGCTAAGAAAACAGGTCATCAGTCCTTTTAGAGATTTTTTCAAAGCAACAATTCCATTAAATAATCCTCTTAAGACTGAGACATACCTGACCCTGTATTGCTAAGTGAAATGCTCCTTTCTTGAAGGGTAGAAAGGATCCCCCAGCATTTCTCGTTCCTTCTGGAAATACCCATACCTTCAACTGGAAAAAATAGAACAAGCTCACATGACAACAGTAAGCCATTAATCAAATACAATCTCTTCAAAACAGATTGTATTGTACAGATTTTCAATAACTGTAGTAAGTCAGCGAAGTATTTTCCACTCTGAAGATATATTAAGATTAAAATTACCACCACAACCATTCAAAAAAAAAAAAAAAAAAAAAAAAAAAAACATTGCCATAAACATACTTACATGTTTATCTTTGATTAAATTGGCAGTTTTTTCTAACGTCCCTCGTGCTTTTTCATTATTGAGCCTGTCTATAAATATGGTGCCTATAAGCCACAGGCCCAAGCCAAGGGGGCCTGCATACAGCAGTTCCTTCTTTGCAAGAGTTGCACAACGTTCGGGGAAGATCTCCATCATGCCTGGGAAACAAAACCATCATCTTAGACTGGGTTCCCACAGATTTAGATTGATCCATCTGGATCAATCTAACTCCCTGGGGGTTCACACTAAATGCTGTCAGCTTCTGGGAGCCGAATGCGCACAAAAGTTAATTACCCCCTTATAGCTTTTAGTAGGCAGGACAGACATTTAAGCCGGTTAGCTGACAGCAATCTAGTGAGATTCCCCAGGGGCATAGATCGATCTAAATATCTGCGGGAATGGTCTCTAACAGATCCGTGGATTAAATATGGCCGACCCACTTGAAAGCTTACTGAGTAATCCCTGCAGGGGATCTTTTCAATATCTATTAGAGGATTATGTGGCAAGCTTTCGAGTGGGTTAGCCATATTTCATCCAGGGATATTTAAGACAGCGGATGAACTTGTTCTGAATGTGCCTTTATACCACAGGGGGCCAGGTGAGTCCATGCTATTTATCCATTTGTTACTTCTTTTATCTTTCATAAACTTCTTGACATATTAATCAAAAGCAATTAACATATTCATGAAATACACACAGAGGACAAGATGTGAAAGACCAACAAATGAAATACTATATTTTTTACTGAATCATTGATAAATTTCAGCTATTTATGTAGTTATCAAGACTATCTTTAAACTAAGCCAATTTTTCAACAATCTATTAACTTAGAAAAAACTTTTTACTTAACAGTACCATGAAACAGGAAAGAAAACTGAGCTAACTATCATAATAACTTGTTATGATTATAATATACATTTAAAAGCCTTTAAATCTTTCGTTAATTGATAATCCATCAACAGTCATGACCTGCTTAATAACAGACTTTGGAATTTAAGGCCAGTGACACCTGACTTAAGGACACATGACACAGTAGGTCAGCACTCATTTTGGTCTTTGAGTAAATAAGGCCCAATTCCCATAGACACCATTGGTCTATGTAAATCGATCCAACTCCGGGGACTCTCGCTAAGTGCAATCAGCTTAATAGATTAACATGCCTCTTCCTGGTGTTAGGTAAAATTCAGAAAAGCTGTTGATGTACAAATACATTGGAAACAAAAAGAGGCAGAGTTTGGTCCATCTACTAAGACCAATGGTGCCTGTGGGAATGGGGTCTAAGTGACCGTTGATGGATTACCCAAAGTGGTGACCACTGCCCACTGAGTCCACTCACCAATGAGATCTAATGAGCTTTGGTGATTACAGACTATGATATACGATGTGTCCGATTTGAGGTGCTCTGCTCCCCTGACTTCTACAGCAATACTGAACAATGGCTTGATAATATGTTTTATACACCAGGCTGGGTATCTGTAAACACACATAAAATAGAACAGAAAGTCATTAATTTTATATATAAAGTGATTTCAAGAAGAGAAAATAATCTTTAAGAAAATCTGCAAATTAACAATCACAAACCAATGAGTTATGTACTTTCAGGTTACCCATGCTCTCAAACACCCTAGTTTTCTGCATGGGAGATCATTAAGTGGCTCTTAATTGACCAAACTGCAGATTATTTTGTTTATTAGCCAGCTTTTATTCTAAAATACATGTTATTGTGTAGAAAAAGAGTGGAAGAAAGGCGTGGACCATATAATACCAGTAGCTAACTGGTAGTGGACCTCACTTCTACAAAAAGGAAGAATTCAAATCAGAGTAGCTTGCTTGATGCATACTCATTAATATTCTTTCTAAACTAAAAATGTAACTCAATTGATTTTCTGACAGGAAAAGATGTTCTTGAAGCAGGTAAACCTTTTGAATATTTCAATTATTATTCCACCTGGAATATCTGCAGCAGGAAAACGGACCCCGCAAGCAATTTTTTTTTCTCATGATAGACAAAGGAAATATAACCTCTACAGAGCAATGAATGACCTGGGAAAAGGAAATCACTACAAGTGGGAAATTTGTGCTGCAAAATGGGGTACATAAGCAGGAATCCTGTAATTATAATTTATCTAAAGAAATAGACGCACTGCCTTCTGTGCAGGAACGGGTTTATACCCCTATGTGGTTAGAAAAAAAAAAAACTTTGTAGAGGATCCTGATACATTTAAATTTTGTCCTGGTTTTGGCAGTGTGCCTGATCTTTACAGTAATTACCTCACATTTGTGGTTGAAATTCTCCCAGACTTTGCCTCCACATGTATTTATATAATATCTAAAGGAAATAACAACATTTAAAAGGACTTCCATTTTAAGAAACATTTTCTATAAAATGATCTGAAATAGGTACTGTGTGTGCGCATGTACTCTAAATGAAAAAAAAAAATGGTTTGTGGCTTTATGCACAATTAAAGAAGGGGGATAATATATAGGGCAATTTGTCTTGATCTACAGTGGCACAATTTCTAGTCTGTTGACAAAATGAGCAATGTAAATAATAGGAATGTTTACAAGGTTATCAGTGCTTGGGCAAAGTCCAAAGCCGGAAAACCACTTATTTCAGTACAGCAGAGTATAAATGTAATATAAATCTTTTTCTTGTTTATTTTCAGTACAAAGTCATACATGTATCACATGAACAATTAATCTTTTACCCCAAATAGTTTGAATACACCAAAATGACTGATGATAAAATGAAGGTGCCTCTTTTTATCAAAGTTACAGTCTCTTAAATTATAATACATGTGGAAGCTGTGTTTACTTTTTTAAACACATTGTATCTTAACCTCAATATAAACTAGATATCTTGGCCCACCGGTTTCAAAAAGAAAAAAAAAATAGAAAAAAAACTAGGCGTTCTATGAGAGTGTTGTAACACTGTTCCTGATAGGGTAACTGGGGTAGCGCTAGCAATTCTTTTCACTAAGCCAAATCACCACTTTTTAAATCAATTTGTTATTCAAATTTGACTAAAACAAGTCAAATCAAGCCCTCTTTGTTTAGCCGATATAAGTCAGTTTTACCATTTGACTAAATTTGTGAGTGATAGCACTACACCAGGGTAGGGTGTGTGCATGTGACCATGTAACGTTGGTAATTAAGTTCTTAGCCAGGAAACCTGACTTAAGTTTTTTTTTATGAAACGAGGGCCAGGAGCAAACTGCAACATTAAAATGCAGTGTTTTGCAAGGCATCATAACATTTTCATCCTTTTACAGACTCCAAAAATGTATGCATCTATTTCTTATTGTTTTGGCGGAGTTAATTATTTCAGATGAAACACTGGATTAAAAAAGAGAGGAGCCCAGGGGTACAGGCAATAAACCTATATAGTCTACAGATCCAATAAGTGCTAACTGCTATTTGTGATCTCAAGCCACAGATCTGTGATCGCCAATGTTGGATTATTGGCTAAGACTGTGATTTCATGGCCGAAATATTAAGAAGTGGTCGTTACCATCACACAAAAAAAGCACAAACTATTTGTCTGTTTCCAACCAGGTTTCTTAGGTTGTTTACATACATGCTCTTTTTCTCAACACAGAACTTTTTTCAATACAGGAGTAATGTGCTATCAACAGTCTTTATGGAACGTACTGAGTGGTACACAATTTACATAATGGTCTTCTCGACTACTTTTTTTTTCTTTGTGCCATGAAATAGTGGTTTGAGTAGCAAATGCCACATTCACGTCACAAACCTCTGGTTGGAGACCACAAAAGGCTATTTCGTTCACACGGAAAAGTCTACAGGTCGCCTCTTACACAGCATTGTCACCACGGTCTAACAGTAACAGTGGTTAGCCACAGCACAGTGACAAAATTCAATCAGTATGGAACATGAATAAAATACTGAACTTCAAAGTATCAAGGCAAGACCTTAACACAATATGCAACGATCACACAGTGCCTGATACTGCAACTCATAAACGTTCGGGTCCTTTTTAAGCGACATAATAACCCTATGCCAGAGTAAAAGAAAGTTGAACAACTTGCCTGTGATTTCGTACATCCCTCGGACGTAAGGCAGCGATTGGGATTGTAAAGAGAGAGCATATCATAACAATGGTGACATAGAGAGTAAACTTTGCATAGTACTTGAACGTACTACTGAGTTCATATAATATTGGTAAAATCAGTAATACACCGATTACCGTCCACTGCACAAAGTCCAGCTCCATCTCCTGTTCACTGCTTTCCCGCGTACCCGCTTTCGGTAGTCGTAACAAGTCGAATCATGTGCTATCAAGCACATGTCGCAACAGATCCGTATTATTGCATTAGTTGAGCGATAGAAGTAGAGAGACGGTTGAGCTTAAAACGGCGCACAGTTAACACAGTCACGTTTGCTTGGTCTCAAAAGTGAGAAGCCTAGAGATATCTTGCTGCCCTGCTCTTTTACTATACATATAGTCTTTCTACTGTTGTAGGCCTAAATTAGAAATACAAAAATAACTACCAAACTCTTCCCATGTTTTCTTTTCATGTGACTTAGATTTGTTATAGGCTACTCTAATGGTTTAGGGGGATATTACGGAAATTAACAATACATGGAAGGGCGCACGACCCCACAGACATTCAACATAACATGATCCCCGAAATCTGTCACAAACGTCGAGGGAAAATATGTCTGAGAAGCGTGAGGTCGACATTTAATAGGGGAGGACCCCGGGGTAAGTTGGTCCCCATCAAGTCTCTTTAATAAAGATAGCCTACTTTAAGATGCTAAATTATTTCATTTGGACTCACTCCCGACGCTTTCTTAGCACTATTGGATGCGGTCACTTTACAAAATGATGTGATCAATTCTTTTACCCCATAGTTAGGCTACATTGTCATAAATTGATGGGGGGCCAACTTAGGCCTACCCCGGGGTCCAACTAGCCCCGGTCTCCCCTACTTAAACAGTCACTCGGCGTGCAGTAGGCCCTATCACTTCAGCGCCGTCTCCATCCAACTTCCATTTCTAAAGTTTTCCAAACCGTTTCAGCGACTTTTAAAAAGGTGCGAAATGCGGCTCTCATAACATGGTAACCTAATACCCCTATTAGACCCGTAGATTGTTTTTTCACTTCTTGTTCACATATGTTTCTGGGTAATTATGTGCACTTTTCTGAACTGCGACAGCACAGAAAATTGTCATGAATTACATTGTAGCCAGAGATACATCCGTGTCAGAATATCTAGCGAAAAACCAACTGTGGCCCTGGTAGAGGGTAGCAATATTAACCTAAGCCCAGTATAGAGGCCTGAAACCCACTAACTGCATAAACACTTTAAATAATAATAATAATAATAATAATAATAATAATAATAATCTTTATCTTCTACCATTCTTTACAAAAACCTAAGACCTCACAATTATTTTTAAAATTCAATTAAAATTAAAATTCAAAAATTAGGTACGCGCATACACACTTTGGTCGCAAACGCAAATTTATATAGTGATTATCTTTGCACATTTATAAGGCGTGGAGATACCGAGCAAACATACAGGTGGCTATCTACTGATTTGGTGGTCTTTTTATGGACACCTTTTTATTTCAAAAATTTTTAACACACACGTCGAAAGTAAATATGCTTCAATGTCAATACACGATACATATAGTTCATAACGAGCCCCGCCTTTCTGTTTTATTAGTCATGATACATTGAAATAGCTCAATTTCATAGAGACTTGTTAATCTTTAATTTTTTAATTACATCCTGCATTGCGGATGGTCTTTTATAAAATGATGAAAATACTCTAAAGACCGTAGTGACAATTTTAATTATATTGCAGGCCTTTTAAATTTGCTTTTTCACATTTGATTAGTTTGTTAATTTATCTATTTGACAAGCCAGTAAACAAGTCTATTTAATAACTAAGAGAGTTTCTTGATCTTTTCAAAACAAAGCACTCTGCCTGTAATGAATAGCACACTTTTTGAATAACTCCGAACGCTTTTGCTTTGTTGCAGTAAAAAAAAACAAAAAAAAAAAAAAAAAACAAAAAAAAAAAAAAAAACAAAACAAAACGATAAAGTAATGTCTTGTTTAAAAAAAATTGGAGATAACATTAGATCGTGTTCATTACATTACATTTTGGTTAAACACGATACCATTTTACGTGTAATCAAACCCTGTGAATATGTGTTCATTTAATCAAGGTGCTAAATTTGACTTTAGATTTGTTTTCTCTTGGTCATTAACTTGATAACATACCGTGTGAGCATCGAGACACATTATGAGCAAGGCATGTTGAGATACCACCCTTTAAATTTACTAAGGCATCTAATGCTTTTTCTGAGTTAAGGAACTGCTTAGTTAAAGCTAATTACCGCACCTTTAGCCCAAAGTGCACTGTAAAAGTTTATATAAAATTAGCTTTAGAGAGATTATGTACAATTACATGTCTCTGACCTGCAGATTTATAAGGTTTTCTTGGTTACGCGTGGAAAATGATGTGGAAAATACAGTATATTCTTGTTGGTGTCTGTTTCTTTTGTAAAAAAAAAAAAAAAAATGATCAGATCGTGTCAATTTTGCAAAGGCACCCGCCTTTTTACCCACAGGACCGCACAATGTCTATTTAAAATGGTAAGGTTGCAATGGTTGTTGTAGGCTTCAGCTCTTGTTGCAAGAGAGAGAGAGAGAGAGAGAGAGAGAGAGAGATTTGAGAAAGCAGGTCAGACAAAAATATTGCGAAAAATAACTATGTAGTCTATCTAGAATGACAAAATAAGAGAGAATGTGTGAGAGAGAAGAAGAGAATTAGAAAATGAGAGAGGCAGAATGAGAAAGAGAGTGTGTGTGTTTTGAGACTGCGAAAAATAACTATCTAGTCTACTCTATACATACATGCACTCCAGTAGTCTTATAATACTGTTATAATTCAGTTTGATTTATCATTGGTTATCACCAACTTGTGCGGTTTTCATATTGACCTTTAATCGATCATCCAAAGATATATTTGAGTTTTTGCTCTCTCTTTATTGATTTAATATCCCGCAGTGCTTACATGCTGTTAGAAACATGTTCCGAAAATAGACCGTTTTTTTTTCGGCAAACATTGTCATCCTCTTTATTATGCCAATATGGCCAAGAATCAGTTAATTTACTAATACTGAGCATGAGATCATGTACTTATTAATTTTATTGTAATTTTACGTGGCAGTATGTTGTGTATAGCAAAATTTATTGTACAGTTGATGTGCTACAGAATAGTTATTCTTGAATTTCATTTTGCATTTTGTAGTTATAAGATACTAATTATTATGTATTGAGAATTATGACATTCTTCTGCGCTATGATAAAGTATCCCTTAACTAATTTCTTCACAATACTGTATGTAGTACGAGGAACGCATGCACACGAAATAGAATGACTCCAGCAGATAACAAGACCCCTTTTTAAATGAAGAAATACTTGACTACTTCATAATGTCTTAAATTAACTTTCAAGATTAAAAAATGGGGGGGGGGGGGGGGGGGTCTGCGTAGACACCCTCAAGCATCTTATCATTCATTTACTTGTTGTTAAGTCATGTTCAGTGGCTCAGTTGATACCTAAACCATTCCGGGGTTATCTTCATGTCTGAATGCTTACACTAATAAGGGTCTAGGACCTTCCTGTCTGCACCTTATGCCAGGACAGACATAAATGTACAAACCAAGTACATGTACTTATATCTTTTCATGATCAAAGGTCATCAGCACCAAAAAAAAAAAAATTAAAAAAATTCAAGATTTTTTCAAAACGTTTTATTAAATACTTGACCTCCCATTTTACCTTGAAGGGCTATAGGTATAGATATAAACAAAAATTGTTAAAGCAAATATAAAAGCAAGTTATTATTTATGAGGGTATGAATTCCATTGTGTTCCGTTTCATACATGCTTTTGAAACGAGCTTTTATCCCAGTTACAGAACAGCATCAAAATCATCATACATCAATTTTAAAATCTGCTTTCAAACGGAGTAGTTGAACCAGCACCTTGTAAAGAGGTTACTCAGGAGATTAAAACACGAAGAGAAGTGTAGGGGTATATAGTATCGAAGACAGATCGTTTGTGCAAAGTTAACCCAAAATCACCAAAATTAAAAAAGGAAATAACTTCACTACAGACTTTCTGTCTTTCCTCTTGCAAATTTCTCAAAGGTTTCAAAGAAATGTGATATATGATATCAACATCTTTTCAAGAGCAATTGTGACATTGTTGATGAAAAACTATCAATGACATATCCTTTGTGCAGAGATGGTTCACTGACTAGTTAAATGTGCATACAAAAGAAACAGTTTACTTCTGTGCACGACAGATAAAACTTTCACTTATTTTCATAAGGCTTAAAACCCGAGACGAAAACTCGAAAATGCTGTTTCCCAAAGCTAAATTGTGTAAGCTTAAAATCATTATATTGTAAGGTTCGATTTTAGGTTCACAGATCGAGAAGAAGTGAGCAACAAGAGTCGTGGATTTCCAAACAGCTTTATTCCCACTACCTAACTTCTCTCTACCCACCACCTGTTCTATTTATATGTACCTTAATGTCTCATTATAATAATGCCTTATAATATATCTTACTAGGCGCGGGCGCCGCGACATCCTATAGTCTAGGCGCGGGCGCCGCGACATCCTAGGGGCGTGGGACATACTAAGGGGCGCCACCGCGTCCCTTACAATATCTTGTTCACTGTGCAAGCTTTCCAAATAACTTTGTAAAACACTAGTGCATTCTAACTAGCGGCAAACAACAGAAATTTCCTCTCTACCTATATGTCACATATGGTGACCGTATGCAAAGAACAGAAAGTTCATAGTAATGAAGATTTTGAGAGCAAGCGGACAAAGATTCCATCCCGCTGAAATCTTACAGATTAGGTAAGGCACTGGCGCAAATGAACTCGGTCATAATCTTTCGTGCAATCTCTGAAACTATTTCGAAACGCTGACAAAATTATTCCTCAATCCAAATGGGCAGCTAGCTAAAAAGAATTAGGCACTTTAAGCCAGTTGGCTTCTTATGGTGGAGGAGTAAATCCGCTACAGTTCAATTCTGGGCAGCATTTCCCGGGCTTGGGGGGATCCAGGCGACAACTATTTGGGACACCAACACTCAGCCAGTCAAAACACCTAAAATATATTTGAAAAAACATTAATATTTTTTATCAGGTATACTTAATTAATAGAATGACATTTCACATTATCAAAAGTATGTTAGATT